GATTCAACTTAAGGTAAGGGTTAGGTTTAGGGTTAGGTTAAGGGTTAGGGTTAGGTTAAGGGTTAGGGTTAGATTTAGGGTTAGGTTAAGGGTTAGATTTAGGGTTAGGTTAAGGTTTAGGATTAGGTTTAGGATTAGGTTTAGGGTTAGGTTTAGGGTTAGGGTTAGGGTTAGGGTTAGGTTTAGGTTTAGGGGGGTTAGGTTTAGGTGTTAATTTTAGGTTTAGTGTTTACAGCGTGCTTCTGTCTCCGCGCTGTTGTCGCCCTGTTGATGACGTCAGCGACGCAGTTTAGTCGGACACGGTTTTGTGGTGGAACCGTGTTTCTCAACCTTAGCCACTTGAAGATGTCCAGACTTCAACTCCCAGAATTCCCCAGCCAGCATTTGCTGGCTGGGGAATTCTGGGAGTTGAAGTCTGGACATCTTCAAGTGGCCAAGGTTGAGAAACACTGACTTAGAGTTTCTCAACCATACCAATTTGAAGATGCGTGGATTCAACTCCCAGAATTCCCCAGCTAGCATTTTCAACTTGCCAAGGTTGAGAAACACTGCCTTAACCATAGCTCTGCTCTGGGTTATGTGCCTGGGAAGAAGAGGGAACTCCAGAGGCTTAGCATGGAGAAATCAGCAGCATTCCAAACAGAGATTAATCCAGCCCATTTTTAACCTGATTTTTTTCTCTTGTCAACCACTATCCCCATAGCAACGTTGGTAATATTCTGTTCACTTCTAGGAAACATATCCTGTTGATGGTTAGAATTTCAATCTCCTAAACCTTTTCAGCACCCCACTGAGTTGTAAAGAAATAGGGAGGTTACTCTCTTAAAAAAAAACCTCAGCCTATTGAGAAGAACTTCCTATCTGTCTTTCTCTTAAATAAGTAGGTTTCTCCTATTTAGAACCAGCAGCAAAGTAATCCAAAGATTGAACCTTTGACCCAGAGGTAGCTGAAGAAGTTGATACTGATGAGAGGGGAAGGCTTCACGTTCTAAGTTGTGTCTGTGTATGCACATAATATGTTTGTCACCAGGATAAATTATGAAAAATGAGAAATATAGATGTACCTGCATAATCTGCACACTTTAGAAGAAAATGTTAGTATTCCACTTTTCACGTGCAGGAATCCAAAATTTTAATGCAAGAACAGATACGATGCTGCTTTAATCTAAGGCCTCTTGCTAGTCATCATCCTGCAGCTTTTGCCACCCCCCCACCCAGGGGTGGGTTTCTCACCCCGTTCCAACCGGTTCGGCGTCCTCATGCACACGCGCAGCGCACGCATGCGTACTAGTGTCTGTGCGATGCTCCAGCTGCTCCTGGAGGATCG